CAAATACAGTCCTGTCATTATCTTTTGGTTGCTGCACAAGGGTGAAGGACGGGGGTTTCAATTAAATGGGGCCTTATTTTTTGGTCTTGTTCTTTTGCAATATTATTCTGAAAGCTGTTCCTCTTGGTTTGACTGTTGGGCTCAACAGAGCGAAACAATCCACTACACTTTGTCCAAGAGTTAAAAGAGAAAAAGTTGTGGGCAGTTTGTTGGAAGCTAAACAGTCAATTGAACTCCATAGAATATAAAGAGTTTAGAAAGGAAACCAGGAAATGTCAATACGACAATCTTGCTCCTTTCAGGTAAAGCTGTTTTAATTAACTTTATGTGATTGTTAGGTGGAGATAAATGATAATGACTTAAGGGTTGCACCAAATGGGAAATTTGTTCTGCAAAATGTACCAGATTGCTCTCCCATGTTTTTATTTTTTTCTCTCTCCAAACAATGCCACCCATTATACATAGATGTCTTTCTGTTCTAGACACACAAGAGGGAGCTCGCTACTTAAACCGTTTAACAGAAGGGGGGGGGGGAATCTTTGTTCCACAGTAGATTTCTGAAGTATTTTTCCCTCCCCTATTTCTAACTTTCTTCCATTGCTTTAAAAAAAATGTAATTTAATTAAACTCTGTTGTATATAAATACGTTGCTGGTTTATTTTTATTTTTTAAAACCTTCTCCAGTGTACACAGGAGACTGTGGCTGGAGAGATCTGGCGCAAGCACAGAAGTATATGTACAAGTTCAGGGTTTTACTCCCAAATCATCTTAAATAGGCTTTCCTAAGACTGAAAAACGGCCAGATTACATTTTTATCCATCAGAAACTGGAAAACTACAACTTTCGGATTCTTGCAAACAACGTCACTGCTGGCCATGTTGACCAGGGGTGGGATTCAGAGCTGGAGACTTTTAAAAAGGAATTTTTTTGGATCTCTGTTGCGAATTCGACTTTAGCATTTACACCTCGTTGGACTTCTACTGGAGAGCACTGTCTTGCGAACCCATGTTGGAACTTGACTCTGCACAGACAGGCAGGTTTCCTTGATGATTACGAGAGGGTCACAAACCAAAAAAAACAGTGGTTCTTGGTGGTTTGTTGTTTGTGGTTACCCACGAACCACAAACTATCACAAACTTCCCCCCAAAACAAAACAGTTTGAGGTTTGTCTTCGGCAGCAGCTTCAAGACAAGTTAGGGAGGTGTTGAAGCAAAATGAAGTGCCGAGAAAGGGAGGGGGGAACTTTGATAGATAAAAGTTCAGTGTTTTGTTTCGTTTTGGCAAAATGGGATCCTCGAACCGAACCACGAACCAGCCCAGCTTGTAGTTATTTCTGGTTCGTGGTTCGGTTCGTGCCCATCTCCACGGATGACTGCAAAACCATGGACGACTTTGATCAATCTGTCTTGGCATCAGCGGAACCATGCAATGAAAGAGCATTTAACACTTGATGGTCACTCTGGTAGGTCTTGGTTTTAGCCAACTTTGGGTGTGCTTCTCTGATCGAAGTGGCACCTTCTTGCCATGAAAGCCCAGAGAAATGAAGGCCCAAATCAGGACAATTTAACAGGCTCATACAGTTGGAAATGACTTCACAACATGCCATCATCCCATGTCTTTTTGGGATGTAGGGGATACACCAATCTGAGCATTCAGTTTCGAAACATCTCACAAAGATACCCTTTTTCTCAGCTTCTCTACGAAGAGCTACCTGATCTTTCGGTGAAGTTGTCTTTCTTCAAAACACACACACACACACCATGTGGTTCCTGGACACAACCCCAAAGCAAGGGAGGCCAATACCTTTCTTGTATGTGTGTTCAGGGCCGTCCAGTTGGATACGAATTACAGCCACCCAAATAGGGTCTTCAAGGTAAGATATTTAAGGAGTGGTTTTGCCAGTTCCACTCCCTCAGTCAGTTTCCATGGCTGGGCAGGGATTCGAACCCAGGTCTCCAGGGCCAAGGTAAGATATTTAAGGAGTGGTTTTGCCAGGTCTCCAGGGTTCTAGTCTGTCACTCTGTCCATTACATCACGTTGGGGAACCTCAATACCTGGGATAGGATCCATCTGCTGGCTGGATAGCTCAGTGGCTTAAGTCTCTGGCTGCGGAGTCAGAGGTTGGGAGTTTGATTCCCCTCTATGACTCCTGGGAGAAGAGCCAGCCTGGGTAGCCTTGGGCCAGCTGCACAGTTCCACAGCACCCCTAGTGGAAGGGAATGTAAGCCACATCTGAGTGTTGCTTACCTAGAAAATCCTGGAAGGAGTCAACATAAGTCAGAATTGACTTCATGGCATAGGCTTATTTACTTGGGCATGCATCACTCTTGTGTTGCATGTGGTTGCATAGTCCCACAGCGCCCCTAGTGGAAGGGAATGTAAGCCACGTCTAAGTGTTGCTTACCTAGAAAACCCTGGAAGGAGTCAACAAAAGTCAGAATTGGCTTCATGGCATAGGCTTATTTACCTGACTCCTGGGAGAAGAGCCAGCCTGGGTGGTTGCATAGATCACTCTTGTGTTGCATGTGGTATGCAGCAGTGGTAGCCTTGGGACCAAAAAATAAATGCTTTGTAGGCATTCCATTTCCTAAATCAAGAGTCCCATATGAATACTGCTTCCCAAACGAGGCACTTTTTCTTCCAAAACTGTTCCCCGATCATGCCAAAGTCAATAAATATGAAATGCTTATAGCTTAGCTTGCGTTTTTTGTGTTTCAAGCCGAAATCTTAATGTTTGTTGCAGGTGGAGAGAATGTCCTCCGTCCAAGTATGACTGAGACAGGGCGAAAACATCCGCCACTAACTAACCAGCAAGAAAATTCTGGAAAATGTTTGACTCGAGGAGTCATCTGAACCAAAGGGGGAAAGGAATATCAGCTCTGTCAAGATGGTGGGGAGTCACTGAGGTTTACATGTGCTGTTTTAGCCAATCTCCCCCACTATTCCAGCATCCCAAAATCTTAAATTTCCTTGATCGAAACATGTCTCTCGGCTTCTTTCAAGTCCTTGCATGCTGCCGGGAAACTCAAACCAAGCCTCCCATCTCCAGCTCGCTTTTGGGGCCACTGGCTAGCTCTCTGTCCGTTCTATGTTACAGAGTTTTTCTGAGAATAAAATGGAGGGGGGGGGAGTTTATATGATAGTTATGCAATAGTTTTAAAACTTTGAAAGGTCCCCCCTCTCTCTGTTCCCCCCCTCAAATGAACCTGGAGGCTGGTGCTTGCTCGGGGAGGCTGGTGAATACACCCGGGGTTTTCGTCCGAATTGTAAAGGAACTCTACAAAGCGCTGAAGCTAATTTAAAGGATCAGATTCAGCTCACAGAATAGTATCTGGAAACCTGAGACGAGCCTCACAAGTCCTTGAGATGATGCTGTGGAACCCCAACGGACTGGGAGGAGGCAAAAAGAGGACCCAGATAAATGGGTCCATGGAAACCCAGAGCTGGGATGGAGGGGGCAGAGTGTTTTTGACAGGTCAGCCAAGTGGCTGAATGTGCCCATCAGCTGTGGTGGTTGCCACCCATCCTGCTAGGGTCGGTATCCTGAGTTGGCGAATCTAGACATTACATGGGAGATGTTTTTCCCTATTCTGTTTGTTGGGTTTTGTGAAAGACCCCTTCCCAGGGGTCTGTGCAGCTACTGTAAGAACGCCTGTAAAAAGAAGGCTCGGGAGCTCTGATGCCCGTGCTTGCCTCCCTGCCTTGCTCCAGCTGGCACAAGGGTCTCAGATGCAGGCACTCGTGGGCTGTCTTCCTGGTCTCTTCCCTTCGTTCCTGGCACGTGGACAATCTCCGTTGTGCTCAGCCACAGAGCGTGGGGCCAGTTGGGGATGGGTGGAGGGGGAGGCCAGGTTTTAAAGCATCTCACACCCAAAGATCCAGCTTTCTCCTCCAGAGATCCTCATCCTGTGATTTGTCACCCCATCTGGAAAAGCTTAGGTGAATCTTCTTATTGTTCTGTGCTGTCAATTCGGAACTGACTTACAATGTCCCTAACAGGGCATTCCAAGGTAAGTGAAACATTTAAGGAGTGGTTTTACCAGTTCTTTATCTCTTCAAGGGCATATGATGAGTTTCCATCTAGCTGAGGTGGGATTTGAACTCAGACCACTGAGTAGTCTGTCATTCTATCCACTACGCCACTCTTGGGTCTGTCTGTCTTGGCAAACCTAGTCCTGTTGTATTCCAAGAAGCCAAAGTAGCTCAATGTAGAATTCAAAAGAGGCGGGCAACATATGGCCTTCGATGTTCAGAAGTATCAGCTGTTTCACTTATCCACTGCCTGAAATATTAAATAATAAACTCTAGATTTCCAAGATATATTACCAGATCTGGTCACTAGAGGGAACCAGAGGCTGTGCCCTCCTAACCAGTATAGCAAAAGGTGGGGGGATGATGGGCATTGTGATCCAAAAGTATTGGGTGGGCCACATTGTGTCTGTTTTGGGAAATGCTCATTCGATACCCTTGAAGAAACAGAGGCTGGTCATACCTGGTTCTTGCTAGAGCTGTGTCATTTATTGTTTTTGGGATGGCACTTCCAAAAATTCGCCACACTTTACATATATGATAGCTTCCTGGATAATTCTGGGAATTGTAGTCCAAATACACAAACTTGTGCCCCTAGTATCAATGCGTTTCTGCTAATTCCCCCCCGCGCTTTGTGCTTAATTTTAATTGTAATTAATTACAATTGTTTGTAATTAATTACAGTTGTAATTAATTTTAAGTGTAAATCGGGGATACGATTCTGTCCTTTGATTGCACTGAAGAATAACAAGCATGATAACGGCCAGCGATAAGATGCAAGGAATAATAATATTTTTTTTAAAAAAAAATTAAAAAAAGATTTGCTTCAATGGGTAAAAAGTGAACACAAGCATCTTCACTCTCAAGACAGGGCAGCCTTTGGGTGCCTTGGAGAATTTAAGTTTTATTTGGCAATAAAGTTTCTAGTCCCCCAGGTCCTCCAGCAACCTTACACGGATAAAAATGTCTGCAGGCAAAAAACAAAACCTGGACAGGTTTCTTTGATCCGAGCCATGGTTGCGAGCAGGATGCAACTTGTGGAGGACTTGAACTCAGACCCATGAAGTTCTGCAGGAGTTTGATTTCCATCCGTCAAAGGGTCTTAAGGCTTTGGGGAGAAAATGGAAAAGAATTTTAATAGAGATTCGAGAAGCAGCAACGTGATCCCTTGGATGCAACACTGAACTAATATTTTTCGTAATTTTTATTTTAAAAAGAGGAGAGGTATCCTTTTTTAAAGGTTGCATTTCCCAACATTCTCCCCATCAACACAGCCCCCAACCAAACCTTGCTGGAGGGTTCTGGCAGATTCAACCCAAAAAGTGGATCCCCCCCCCAAGACTCTGAACCAGGATAAATCTACAGCAGGAATGGGCTCCAGAGGTGGTGGGGTTGGGGACTACAGTTCCCCTCAGCCCCCAGCTGGCACAGCCCACAGTGAAGGATTATGGGAGGTGTGGTTCAGAAGGGAGAAGAAAATCAGCTGCCCACCCTGTACCTTTAAACAATCATTTGCAGCAATTGAGAGCGGTGAAAATAATCATCCTAGAGGCTTTCAAATGTTAAAGGTTTCACCTGCAAAGGGGAAGGGACGGGAGAATGGAGTTTGGTAACAGTCATCATCCTCATCTCTTGAAGAGCTAGATGATTGGGGTTCCTTTTTTTATGGGAATAGAAGTGTTCCTTGCAAGGCAAATAAGAAGATCCCCACCCCACCCCCACCCCCAAGTACTGTACTGGAAAATGGCTGCATAAATTTCAATTAATGCTTGGGTATCTAGAGGGTGGAAACTAGCATTAGGGGGAATGTTCATTGCACCTTCACGATAGATTTGCAAGAATTCCAGTGTAGGCTCGTGTTATAAAACTTGATTCCTTTTTATTCAGTATTATAAGAACTATTCTA